GAGAGTGTCCACCAACTAACTGGGATTACATGAGGGTTATAAAGCAGTGTGAAGAATTAGAATTAGGCTTTACAGTTGATGGTTAGTATTAGGAACTAGATTTAGGGTTTACATCACGAACTGACATAAACTAAAATTCCAAAATGATATTTAGCCCAATGGATGAATGAATTTCGCGCCGAAATTCAAAACCTGTTATCTTTGATCTGAATGGTTCGTTCGTAAATTATCATCTAACTTTTTACAGATTTCCCTTACATTAAGTTCAGAAGTTTCCAACTGTTTAAACTGTTAGAGATGACTCCTACAAGTATATGCTTTTATAACTCGAACAAAAGCAGTACCGATTTCTAACGAAAGCTTTACACATATACTGAAATACAAAGCTAACCAAAACCTGCTAAGTATTTGAAGACGGTATTATTATAAGCACTTTCAAATAACCTATATTTGTCAACTGTATTTCAGTACTTTATACGTATGATATCCAAACCAGTTAACGTTTCGCGCGACTATGATTTTTTAAACAGGCAATAAAACGTAAAATGAATTAATTTTGAGTAAATGTGTGAGAACCTAATGATCTAAAATCCTAGTTTGATTCATTTTGTTCCATAAACAAGCACTGATATTGCTAGGATTAATTTCACCTATATATAACATACATTGTTTCAAGAGTTTTAAGTGTCATGTAAATTTCAAAAGGTTCAATATGTAAATCTTCTTTTATCTAATATATGACTGACATTGTTATTTACGTATTGGAAATACACAATTAAATTTATTTGAACACTGTCCATTTATACTCATTGTAATCATTTGTTGAGCGATATTAAACAAATGCGTTATTTTTTTTATATAGTTGAATTCATGAGTCGATTCAAGCTAGACAACCATGGAATATGTGTAAGCACTGGACACCCGTTTCGTCCTATTGTGGGACTCCTAAGCAGTGCGCATTCATGATCCCGCCTCACGAGATTCAAACACAGGAACGACCAGTCTCGTGTCAGAACTCTTAACCACCAGACCACTGAGCCGGCATCCGATAGTGTTATTGTCTAAATTCAACCCATCCACTGAGGAGTCCCACAATAGGACGAAACGGCCATTCAGTGCTTCCAGGTTTCCCATGGTGGTCTAGATTCAATTGACTCAAGATCATTTGAAAGTTGAAAGGAAGTGGACTTTTATCAGGTTGTTCTTCTCTGAAAGCAGTAGCTGAAATGATTAAATAATAGCTTTTCACTAAACATATTAAGTGATCTTGTAATTCATTAGTGTTTAAAACTTGAGTAATCTTATGTTAGCCATTGAAATGCTCTTATATTACGTGTTATAAGACGAATGAAGGGAATCGTAGCAGATGAATTTCCCAATTGTTGTCTTGAGTCCAATAAACATACTTCATAATTTGAGATCAAAATTTAAATTTGGTTGTCATCAACAACCTAAGTGAATAAACTTTTGAACAGAAAAAAGTTTCACATCTGTTTCAGTTATGTAATGTAATCTTATGCCTTTTTTGACAAAAATTTAGTTATTTTATAGTTGAAATCATGAGTCAATTGAAGCTAGACCAGCATGGAAAACCTGTAAGCACTGGATGGCCGTTTCGTCCTATTGTGGGACTCATGATTTCAACTATAAAATTACTAAAATCTCCACATAACCCCCTTTCTGATAATAATCATATGTTCACTAATGACTGGCTCCAAGTGGTATTTCCTGATTTCAACTAAATAAAAAAAATTACTGAAATCTCCACAAAACCCCCTACTAAAAATGTGTTATCTTTCAGATGACTGTTAGAATTTCATAAGTCAAACTTTTTTAAATCAACAGGATTTCTCGTAATTTTTGATAATTATCATTACGTAATTTATTAAGGCTTATCAATAATCTAATAAAAATACCATCGATTGAAGTAAATAATAATTTAACTTTACTTACTTAGATTTTATATCTGAATTCTGTGGTTCATTTTATGCTTAGAAGTAAAAAAACACGTACGAAATCATCAAATTTCCAGTGACGAAATAAAGAGCAATGGTACCATTAGATTTATGATTATCTATATTTATAATTGCAGGTTAATCCAGCTGACGAGTCCCAAATAGGGCGAAACGCGCATCCTGGATTCCACTGCTGTCCACTATCCGTCTTTGCTTATAATTGCCTCGACAGTTTTACAACTTAGGTGATGTTAATCAATAGAGCTGCACTGAATAATCATTGAATGTTTATATGAATGTCAAGTTACTATGCGACGTCAAAAATGATTATTTTACATTAACTGTTTAGTTATAGTAATTTATTGTCTTGTAGTAATAAATGACTAACCTAATCCAAATTATTCAAGCATGAAATCTAAATCAATCCATTAAGAACATAACAGTAAATGGATTAAATTTCATTAGTTTTTAAAAAGGTTAATATCAACAGTCGTACTTCATCGCTAAGTATTATATCATTAAGTTATTGTTTGACTGACTTAGTTATTTAGAAAACAAAGTTTATATAACTTGATTAGTAGATTTACTATATCAAAACTGTCTCAGAATGCCTGTGGAAAAGCATTGTTATGAGGTTCGCCTTGCATTTCAAGTGTTTTAATGGTTCGGAAATATCCATTTTCTCTAAAATATTCAAATTAAGGACTTAAGAAGTTTTAATAGTTGAAACCATTAGTCGATTGGAGCTAGACCACCATGAAAAACCTGGAAGCACTGGAGAGCCGTTTCGTCCTATTGTGGGACTACTCAGCAGTGCGCATCCACGATACCACCTCTCAAGATTAGAACCCAGAACCTATAAGTCTCGCGCGCGAACGTTTATGGTCTAGAACACTGAGCCGGCATCCAACGGTGTTATTGTCTAGCTTCAACTAATTCACGAAATTGAGCAACACATCCACTGTTGTCTTCAGTGAGTTACTACCTGACAAGAGACCCGGTTGAACTCCACTGATAATTGCTTTTCACTAAAACTCCAATACCTCTTGAAGAAATTGTCCAAAAAATGACTATTATATTTACATCAGAACGGTTGAAACAAAGCTGTTAAGAAAGAACTGTTTAATAACTATCATTCCTATAGTATGATTAAATACATTATAGCACGAATTAATTGAAAAATGAACACTAATTTGTGTAAAATTCACCGCATTGAGAAAATTGTTTCTTTTTGAATGAGAAATACGAAAAGGTTGACATTTTTTAGGTGTTTCATCTATTATTGTGTTATACAAAAGAATCCACCGGGAATCCATTTAAGTAATATGTTTTTAAGTGTATTTATGATGAACTGGTCAGAAACTGTTACGCAAAACTTGAAGTTAATGTACTAAGTTTGAACACATTTTATTTTATGCAGATTAAACTGAGTATGAGAATGAGGGATAAGCAAATGGATGACTTTCAATGAAACTATTATTAACGCTAGTGATAACAGTTTTATTACAATAAAATCTCCGTGGAAATTATTCAGTTACTTATATTACCATGAAAATCCCTTCCTAATGTACTCATTTTCGGAGATTTGTTGATTATGAAGATAAGATTTAGTAAAATGTGATGTTGAGTGAGTAAATCAGTAAAAAATATAAGATAAAACAGTTGATGAGAACTCATTGAATCCTACTGATCCTCCAGGAAACAGTGCCTGTAACACATCCATTACTAGTTAGGCCAGTGTTGAAAGCTAGTGGGTTACTGAATCTGTATTTTTCTATTAAGCCTAATTGAGGATTTTGTTTTATACTGAAGTATCATTTTACTTTTAATTATTTTCACGAAATTTCAGATGAAGTCTACGTATCTGGTTAAAATCTATATCACCTACAACTCGTAACCAGGTAGCCACTATTATTCTTATTCTCTCGCATTATTAATGATCGAGCTTATTAGGTAATATTAAGTTGACTAACGTACAGTAACAGGTCAGTATACCTTTCTCATTATCACTTTGCATTGACTAGTAACAGTAAACATAACCAACACAACTTTCTAAACTATGTGAATCACAGAAATGTGTTCTTGATTAAAGTTTCCAACCTATTGCAGTGGTCTAATCTCTTTGTAAAGCTTTGAAGACTTCAGAAATACCACCTCAAATTTATGTAGTTTAGAAGAAAAATTTCAGAATTACAAGAAATTAATATTGTAGCAAGTGGAAGTTAACAATAAATGTTTTAATTCTGTCTTTCACTATGGCGTTCGTCTGGTTACTAGATTGACCATATTTCAAGGGGTTATTAAACAATGAAGTGCATAATACGTTTGAAGAAAATTTCTAATGTAAATCATATGGTCTGAAATGCTGGATAATAATCTAAATAAATCAACTAATAGACTAATGTGATATAACCGAAATTCCAAAACAATAAGATCAGCCTATTTATTTTACCGTCATTTAGACACTTCAGTAAACATAGTTGCTTGAATCAAACTTATTAATTACTTATTTTCCAAATGAAATTAGGAAATGCCATGATATTTAAATATAATGTAAGCTTAATTACAACTGCGTATGAAGTAATGGTTCATAAAATTTAACCACCTACTTTCTTTTACTATTATTCTTTGACACTCAATGCACACAGTATCGATTACGAGGTTTCGGCCAATCTCCCTATTTGTAATAGGGCCATTGTAAACACATAGATATCTTGACACACACAGACAATGAGATGAATTTTGATTATACAGCCTACCTCTTCTTATTACTAAAATAAGCAGGTATCCTATATGACTTATTTTACCCTAGCATGCACACGTACAATCGTAATATCTTACGACGATGTGTAAATTTATTGTGAAATTCATTTTGTGCCTTTTTTCGAAGTAAAATACCGTCATCAGATTGGCTGACTGAAATAATTCAATTTCATTTAATAAAATTGCAGGCTAAAAACATCACCGAACTATACACCATAGTTGTGAATTGCTTTCTCAGTTAATAGTTGAACGTGTATTCTGAAATTTATTAATAACAATATCATGTCAACTGTCGCTATGCCAGCCACTGCTTATCAAGGATCTACTCCTGGAAATCCCCCACAAATCTTAGGTCCATTATCTGGTGGCGGTGAAGTACCAGAGGGAGAACCTGTTCATTTAGAATTAAGAATAGCTCCTCCAGGTGATTTACAAGTACAATGGTTTAAAGATGGTGTTGCATTAAGCGCAGGTGAGTAATTATGGTTAAATTATCATTGTATTAAAATCAAGTATTTTTTAAAACATTATCTAGTAATAATAATTGATATATTACTGTTAATAAAGTCTCATTATTCTTAACCATGTAACTAGCCACTTATTTAATAGTCTGCTTTGAAAATGAAAAAAAATAGTACCAGGGATTAATTATAATCGCGGATTGCTTGAAGTTATACATTAACAACGTTGGATTCGACCCCAGAGTCTAGAGACTAACCGTTTGTGTGTGAGACCGAAGGTCCTGGGTTTGAATCCCGCATACAGGATCGCGGGTGCTCACTGCTGAGGAGTCCCATATTAGGACGAAGCGGTCATCCAGTGGTTTCAGGTATTCAATGGTGGTCTAATATTGATCGGTTCACGATCCCAATTAACAATCAACATCTCATCGGATACGCTATGTGATCGATTAAATGTTTTGGGTTACCAAAATATGTTCATACAATAAGAAATATGCATTTCTAACGTAAGGAGAAATAAAGATGTAATCTTAAAAAAATAATCATGAAATTTATTTAGATACCGAACTGGAAAATAACAAACCACAAGAAGCTGATTCTAAATGGAACAGAAGCAATTAGGATAGATGAAACTAGAGGCTCAGTACATTCTGAATGGTCAAATACGTAACTATTCCGGATTGAATTTGTATGGAGGTCAATATACTAGTGTCACAATAATCAGGTGTGCAACAATTAGCAATCAGCCTTTCTCATCAAGATCCATAACATGTTTTATATACGAAAAAGTGTAATTTGAGGATCTGAATATTATGGTCAAATATTGAAGCTTGATATTTTGTCACATGTTGTTGATATCCTGAATTAAACAGCACTTATAAAATAAAAAACATTATTTTGACTTCATTCAGAAAAATTTCATCAGACTTTAATTTGATATAGGAGGTTCCTTAGTTCGCTTTGTACTTCAGTATCGATTTATATAATCTCTTTCCATTGTACTTCGGAATAAACATGATATGTGACTTTGATTAGTGGTTGACTTATCAAAAAAGCACACCTTTCTGTATATTTTAGTTTTTTCTTTACATACCTGCCATCGTTCCGATATCAGTTATTTAAAAGCAAATAACTCAATTCGAGTTATATTCAATTATCATTGTAATACCTACTGAGAAAGTTATATGCTCTCAACATCTGTAAGATAATAATTAAAATGTAATTGATTAGGTTAATGAAAGGTCTTTTTATCTGTGACTTGTGAGATAATGTCTTTTTAGAAGTGTGGATGTAATTTTCCCCTTTACTGAATAAACATTGTAGGCATCGTCCAAATGAGTATTTCACACCGAAAAAATGTCCATATCTCATTTCATTTTCATCCACATTTATTTTTTACACTTACACTGACACAGCATACCAGATGTTAAGCACTTTATTGAATAGGAAGTATCATATTCGATAGTTGATGAGATCTATCCTTAGATAGAAGCAGTTAGGAACTTCACTAAGTAATTCATATTTTTAAAAAATGTAAGTTATCTGTTTATTTGTATGATCACTAACTATTCGGTGCACAAAAACCTTTTAGGTTATTAATCTCAACTGTTTTACTATATTTTGGTAGTTTTTTGTGACATCCAACGGTCAGTTTTCACTTATTTAGTATTGGCCCCCACAATGAATGATCATTTAATAAAGAAGGGTAGTTTAAATCTCTTAATAAAACGTAATCAAATACTGTACTATCAATTAGTGATTACAGAGTCTAGTTGATGCTGTTTGATGTAGCTACATATAAGTGTATTAACTTATTTCCTCGATTAGTCCTCTCTCATTATACCGCCATATTGGTTGATGTTCCTATTATATTCTGGAATGTTAAGATATTCATCATCATGGTCAATAGTTGACTTATTTCATAAATGATGATAACATGTCGAAAAAACAAGTTATTTCTTTATTCCAATCAGTTATTTTAATATAAAATGATATTTTATACTTAATTTATGAAGGTTCTCGTTACAATACAATGTGTGAACGTGGCTTAGCATCACTAGATGTTATCTATACAATCCCAGAAGACAGTGGTACTTATTTTTGCGTTATTTCAAATCCATATGGCCATGCTCAAAGTGAGGCAGTTCCAGTAAAGTAAGAATAACAACTGTATCAGAGTTTATTTGAATTTGTATGAAGGTTCACTGATAGTGAGCCGTTTGCATAACCGTGTTTATACTCATTATGGAACTATAGTACAACCCCAATTAACTAAGGGCGTAGACGTATTCGGAACCAACTTTTAATTTTCAAACGCGTTTACAACTGTAGACATTTTACTCCTGTCCTATGTACTATAGAATGCTTAGAGTTTTAGTTGTTGTCAGTTATTTGACTCTCTGTTAAGTTGTTTAAGTTTCAAGTTCATCGTATAACTCCAATTGTAACCTCGTCTTTCATTCACCCGGCTAAAATTAATCCAATTCTTGAGAAGCAACGGTTAAGAATACTTGGGAATAATCAAAGTGATCATCTAAAATAACTGAGCTGCTGTGGACAGATATAGTACATTCCGACCAAGAAGTCATTCATTACTGAAGTTTAGCTTGTGCTTACACATAAAATAGGCTAAGAGAATCAGTAATATAAATGCAACAACCAGTCATTCTGAGAAATTATTACTCATACTCCATTTTATGTTTGATGCCGTTATGAAGTAGAAAATATTCTTCAGTGTAAACAATTTTCTCCATGATATATGGTCATTATTTGTAGTTTCTTCTTTCCATCAATTGTGTCAAAAAGTTGTTGTTATGAATTTTAATTTTTTCAAAGAAAATGAAGACGAAACTCAGTAAACACATTTAAACATCAGATCAATTCTCCTCCACATCGTTCTTAGTTTTTGGAAATTCTGAGATAGATGTGGCTATACTAAATTAAAGTTTAAGTTATTGAATTCTGAAAATCCAGCTTCTCTTTCCAAGAAATTATGTGAAATTTTCAACAACACTTGAATCCTATCAAGAAGCTAGCCATTAGTGAGAATACGATTATTATCAGTATAGGATTTTTCGGAGAATATGGCAATTCCATAGATTTCAAATCACAAATTGATATCCGTTAGTTCATCACTAAAAACCTACGACAGTTATTCACCATAGGCGATGAAGGATGGCTGTAGAATATCGCAAATTGATTTAAGTTAAACATTAACACCGTTGGTTTCAATCTCAGAGGTATAGAGGTCAAACATTCGTGAGAGACCGGAGATCCTGTGTTCAGTTCCCGGATGACAGTTTGTGAAGTGAGGATTATAGTACCAGGATGAAACGGCCGTCTGGTGCTTCCAGTAGTTTAGTGGTGGTCTAACTATCATAAGTTCATGAGGTGAATTAAAATCTATGAAATTGTGTCATCTGCACAAAACTCTATACTGAATACTTGAATTGTAAACCCAGCAATCTGAGATAAGCAATATATCCTAAGTTCCAAAGAATAATTGAAACTTATAAATGGTACTGTATGACAGTAAATAGAACAAACTAGCCATACGAAGTTAGTTATACTTTCTGAATAGAAATAATTCTAATACTATCTGCTGTATATATGTACTTACAATTTTCTTTGCATTACAAAAACATAGGTAGTTTAGGTTAATGTACTAATTATGGTTGTCAGTTTTGAAAGAAAGAAACGTCTTTATCAATCAAAGGTTTAAAAAATGATTGAATAGATGTCGTATTTTTTAAATTTTTTTCTCGTTTTCTGGAATTTGTTCAATATTCAATTATCCATCTAATTTCTAGCTGTTCAATTTACTATATCAGAAGTGTTTTGGTGGATATTGTAGTAATTTTAATAGTTGAGATTATGAAGAGTCCCACAGTAGGACGAAACGGCCGTCCAGTGCTTCCAGATTTTCCATGGTGGTCTAGCGAAAATTGACTAATGATCTCAACTGTTAAAATTAATTTACTATAGTTGAAATTTCGAAATAGACGGTAACCAAATTAATTATTCCAGTTTTTTTTCTCTGTTTTGTTCAATGATTTACTTAAAAAGAAATTAGATGTAGATAATTTTAGTCACAAGCATAAAATCCTTGAAATAAAATTATTTTTAATTTCACTTGGTATTGTTTGTTTGAATCTTCCCATTGATGTTTAGGACTAAAATTGATCAGTCTCTTATTGGCATATGTGCATACTGTGCGTATTGCCTCGATATAGCCTTAACCCCATCGTACAAGCAAGTGGTTATCAGGACTCAGTAGCTGAATGGATAACGTGATGGCATTTGAAGTGAAAGGTACTGGGCTCGAGTCCCAGAGTGAACATCAACTCTGGGATGCAGGTACATCTAGCTGACGCGCGTGCTGGATTCCACTGCTAGCCACTATCCATCTTTGCTTAAAATTATTTTTAGTTTATACATTCGTACTAAAACCTGGACTTAATTTGTGTGTTTGTCAGCACTTACGAAAAGTCTATGTGTAGTATTCAAGTAGATTTGTTTTCATCAAAAAAGTCGAACTCCTGTTATTGTGTTTATCATTGAGAAATATTACCAGTTGCACACCCAACTGTTTCTTAGTTCTGTCATAAATGAGACGTGTATAATGACTGGTTACTGTATATCAGTCAATGATGCATTAAACTTATAAGCACTTATTTTAGTCTGTTTATCAGTTGTAGCCTGAAAACTTCAGCTGTTTAACGAAGCCAGATAGCCCTTCATCAAAGAGCTATTATCCACATGATTTCAGACAAGTCTTCCTAACAGCCATCGATAAGCATGAAACCTAGTTTCAAAGCTTTAAGCGTCGAAGTACAAAATGTGTCCACTACCTTAAAGTATTGCATAGTTCAGTCACTATATTATATAATAGATAAACTCGGGTCAAGACTAGCAAGTGGTACTGGTTACTATGATCTGACCACACTGTATAGGAAACAAGTGGTAATATTAAGCCACGATGATTGATGTATGCATTTACATTTCACAAGAACATCGTAAACTACCATACAATTAGTCAACATACTTTAACATATACAAGCACATCTTTATGTTTAAAACAAATGTCTACTTTCGGAATGAATAGTGACATAAATTATAATGAGTCATCCGATACTTGTTTTCAACATAAATGACCTACAAACATATTGTCAGGTCAACAAAAGTTAAAACACGAAATAGTTTAGTCTTATGGATTATTTGTTGTCTGAGGAACATATTTTCCTCAATCTTTTTGTATAAACTCCAAATAACAAAGTGAACATGGATAGTTCTAAATTCTCTGTTTTGATTTAGAATTCAGGCTAAAAAAAATTGGAAATCAGTTTCCAATTCAGAGATTGTAAGAATCTCTTTTTAATGGATTATCAAATTATTCATTACCAAACCAAATATTTCATATTCAAGTAATATTATAGACTCTGACGTTTGCGACACGTTCACCAATGTACGATACATTAAGTAGTGCTCTTAAATGTCAGATGCATTAGTTGAATACAATGATTCAAATGTCCAAGAGTGACGTGATTGTGCACATATATATTAGGAATTGGAGTAGTATCAAAAATCTATCTGGGACACTAAGATGCAAGTATGTATTAATTTTCACTAACTAATGTTTAAGACAACGTTTAAGAAAAATGGCTGACAAAATATTTCACTGTTAATGATAGGATAGCCTAAAATACAATAAACAATGGGTTGGTTAAATGAGTTTTCCAGAATTACTAATTATGAATTTGCATCTTTGATACTTAAAGAATATTATCTTCAAACTGCTTAGTGCTATGATGCTTGTCTGTTGTATTACGAGGAACTTTCCTGAACACTTAATAAATATACCAACTTCTTCTTTATAAAATTATTAATTGTGTGATTGTAATGATATTCTAGAAAATACCAACTGAGATAACTTGTATGCAGCATATTTAATACAACAAAGGGATTGAAATGTTCTTCTCTAGGTCAGTAAGTTCCATAGGAGTTCAGTATATCCTACGTTTCAAACAATGAATTAAAATGGAAAATATAACAATAAATCTATATTTATCATGATGGGTAACGCTAATTTTTAAATATCATGTAATATTATGACGCTTTACACAGTTATAAATTAATCTTTTAATGTTTTTTGTAGTGTAATACCTGAAATTGATCCAAGTCAAGATCATATGGATGTACAGTCTGCTGATCTCTATCAAGCAACTAGTGCACCTACAAAAGAATATGAACGTGATCAGAGAAGTCAGCCAAAGAGTGCACCACAGTTTACTCAACAACCGGTGATTAGTAGTAGTGATGTTCTTGAAGGAGAACCTGTCAGAATAGAAGCATATTTAAATACAACGAGTGATTCAACACTACAAGTTGATTGGTTGAAAAATGGACAACCAGTTGGCACAGGTATTTCTTTTATAAAGTATGATAATTTATCAAATATAAATTGAACTAGCGATAACGAAAATTTAAAAATTTTACTATTTAATAAACGCAGATATATATATATATATATATATATATATATATCATTTAAAGATCTTTGTTTATTTGTACAGGAAGCCGTTTCAACGCTGTTCTTGACAGAGGTTTAATCGTTCTGGAAATCGGCTACTGTTTAGCCGAAGATAGCGGGTTATATGTTTGTGTAGCTACAAATGCGCTTGGCCATACTGAGAGCCAACCTGTGGAATTGAGGTAATTATTTAATGTGATGATGGTTATTTCTAGTCTCCAACGGATTCCAACTTCTAATTTGGTTTATTTTCACTTTTTACATAAATTTCAATCATCTTCAGAAGATAATTGACTAAAGAACATTATATGGCATTATTGTGTCTGCTTTGAATAAAAGGATAATGAGTATCAAATCAAAGCGATAATTTGTGTCCTTAGACAATCAGCCGAATGTTCAGGATCTAGATTTTATGCGTTCGAATAGTTTTCAAAAACGCTGGATCGGAACTTCGAGAAAATTTCCTCTCAAATAGGGGAATTTTCCGAGTTAATACTGAGGTCGTAAACATTATAATTAATACTAATTGACTCTTTAGAGAAGCTGACTGAAAATCTTCCTGAAAAAATCATTCAGTCATTTAGAGCAGGTTTCAAAAGAAAAAATAACCAAATGAAATTATTATTTAAACCAATAAATCTGTTTTCTTACATGATGTTTAATTCCTACACTGCACTTGTGAATCATGTTTTGCTTACTTCAACTTTGAATACACTGAAATTATGTGTAGATCTGGTTGACAATGTGACTGGAAACCTGGTACATCAAATTTTAAATTTCATGAATAAAATGTATTACGTTATTTGTTATTTCACTCTTTGTTTTTACATTTAGATGCCAACCAGAAGAACGAATTGTTACCAAATCGATTCTCGATCAACAATCCATAAATCACTTAAAACAACTAGAGGAGCCTGGCGAGGATTACGATTAGTATGTCCCATTCATCTGATGTTATTTATCACTTCATTTCACATTTGTTAAATTGCATTAGATAGAGGAAGTTGCTTCTTAGTGGCTACTCTAGGGATAAATGCTCACTAAAAATGAACCTTTATATATAACCAATCTTAATGTAAACCATTCTTTTAAGTATGAGGGTTATACGTACTAAGCAAACTTAATACCAGGCGTACTTAAAGCTGTTTGCTTCATGTTGAAAACAATACTGTTAAGTATTGGAGTATATTGCAGGCTAAGTAAGCACGATTTATAGCATAGCGATCATTATAAGACATCTAAGAATATACATTTCTTTAAAATCGATGAACTATCAAAACCTTCCTAAGCCTAGTGAAATAGCTGGTCACATTTTTTGATGTACAGTCTTTTCTAAAACAACATTATAAACTATCACTTAACAATTCAAAACTTACAATTATCTTTAGATTCAGTACAAATCTGAATAAATATATTTCAACATTTAGTATGTTCTGTAGTTAAGTCTATTATATGCAGTTAATATTTCCCCCCTTCCCAACTTAAATTAATAAACGAGAATCATTTTAACCAAAATAAAACTTTATTTTAGCATGACAAACTCAACTGTTCAGGGTATACCTCCATCTTTCAAAGCGAATTTAGAACCTTCTTCAGTCCAGGTTAGTGAAGATGAACCTGTAATCTTTTCTGTACCTGTTGACTGTGGAAACGGAGATCGCGTGGTTATCGAGTGGAAACGTGATGGTCAAGTTGTTAAAACAGGTAATTAATTTAAGCAGAAATTTTCATGTAACCTCAGTTAGTATTATTAAACTGATTTACTACATTATACTTAGCCTAGATTGAACATAGTACCACTTCTTTACCCATAAACTGATTGTGAAGATATGATTTATGAAAAATAATGTGTACATTTACGTACACAATGAGAGCAGATATTATCACGGTTGTTGTTAATGTTTTAGTTACACGACGCTTTGTTAGAACAAATGGTTAATAAATGGGTATAAATAAGCACTTAAAGCCATTCTTATTTTACGTTGATATAATTTTAAAAATTAATAGTGTTGTGAATTTATGCCCGGCTTTTATCACTTCATATACCCACCAATCGAAATACGACTTATCTAATCTTAGGACCGTGCCAAATCAATGACGTGCGACCGGTATGAGCAGCCTAGCGTCCTTATTTATCCTTTGTCCGCCTAGCCCTTCCAGTTGGGTCCAGAACACCAATAACAACTTTTATGTGAATCATACTTGGCTTTTATACCAGCCAAACGAACTGCAGCACACCATAAAATAGAAAATAACGTTTGTACAAGACCAAGCCATATTTGACTGTGAACGTGGGAGACAGTAATCAATAAACAGTAAATCGTATAATGATAATCTATAGGTCAAAATGAAGTCTATGATAAGAGGAATATAGATATACATAATCTAGTTACTGAACGGACATACAATAGGAATGTGTATGTAATATTAGTCCTTTAATAGATCTCAGAAATTACCCGTAATTTATTTTTCACTGGAACATAACAAATAGTCTAAGATAACATTTAGAAATTAATTGTTGGTTGTAAACTATATTTTGTATTCACAGAGTAGTTTCTCAGTATCAACAATAATAGTATTCAACGTATTCGAGAAACCTGCCTAAAATTCAGACACCAACCCAACATGTACTCAATAAAAATTAAGACAAAATTTTGAGAAGATTCACGAAAGAGTAAGATTTCAACGAATCGTTAAAGCAGACTAAGTATTCAGATTACTGACATAGAAATAGTTTTATCACCCAGCAAGTCAAACAAATGCCTTTACTTTATTTGAAACAATAGAAATCGATCGATGATAAACGTATAATTCTTCATTTACAAACTAATGACTTTCAATATCAACAAGAATTGGATACACATATTTCATAAGGCTTATTCAACGCATTACGCCTCTATGAAGCATAGAATTATGTTTTCCAGGGTTTAAAGAACACGATAGATCCGTCATCATTATCTGTAATAGATCTTTTATACTAATAAGTTTATAAGCATAATTGTCAAGGCTAGACTTGATAGTTTCAAATAAATTGACCATTCAGTAAAAAGGTTAATAATAAATATATTTTATTTATTCTGAAGAAGTGGCTTATATTAAATCACGAAACGTCAGAAATACAATACACACAAAAAAGCTACAGACATATGATGACTAGGATAAAATGTACGCACACATACACTCCTATAAAAACAGTCAGGATTGATAAGGGGATAATTAACAAGGTGAAAATGTGACTCAAGAAAACTGGAGAAATTGGCCTGTCCAGAAGCTAGAATAAGTTATGTGGGCTTAACATAGCAACCGATACTTTAAAGTAACAAATTAGCTCAAAATTCTTTTATTACTTTGTTAATTATTTGGTGATGTAGTGAAAGTATAAATAGCTGTCAGTTTCTTGCAGGAACTTATTCTAAACTTCGTTCCTGCTTACAATAATGATATCATGCAAGCTCATTATGTCTCGTTTCAAAGGAATAGATAATAAAAGAATGCAACTAACTATTGGCTAGTATCATTTATATAATATGAACAATTGACGGTATGGAATCATTATTGATCTGACATCTCTATTTGCTTATTTAGTTGATTGCATTGAAAAATTGTACGAAATCTTGAGCGTATTCTTACTTAATCTTAAAACCAAATAAACGGTTGTTCATAATACTAAATAGAATAATCTAATTTTCAAATCTTTCTTTTAAATAAGGTTCTCGAATCACAGGAAGTTTAGAACTTGGAATAGCCAGTCTGAAAATTCATTATGCTCAGCCAAATGACACAGGTGCATATACTTGTCATATTTCGACAGAATATGGATCAGCTGATTGTGGTCCTTCAAATCTATTATGTGAAGCTACTGGTAGTATAATCGCTGCAAGTCAACTTCCAGGTGACAAAGAAAAAGGTAAGTTATCTATCTAGTGTAATAGTCATATAAATAAGATGCTGAGGAATTGCGGTAATTTCAAGTTTTATTTTTTTTAAAGGTTTACTAGCAATCGAAGCCATAGAAGCAAACCTACATGCACCACGTGGTACCGTGTGGGAAGACGAAAGTCCACACGAAGCACCTGTTATTCTTCAGCAACCACAATTCGTTGGTGAAATTGAGGAAGGGACTGCAATTCACTTTGATGTTCAGGTAGAACCAGCTGCTGATCCTTCACTTATTGTTGAATGGTTAGTCTGTTTTATTATTACTTTGCTTTAATTGTTTTGTCTGTGGTAATTTATTTCACTGAACTCAGATATATGTAACATACTTAGCTTCAATTCACTTAGTATTGTTTGTTTGAATCTTCCCATTGATGCTTAGGACTGCAACTTGTCAGTCTCTGACGAGTCCCAAATAGGACGAAACGTGCGTCCTGGATTCCACTGCTAGCCAATATCCATTTTCGCTTATAATACTTAGCTTCAATTTATTCATGATAAATTGCACAAATAGCTGTGTCATAACTGTCAAGAAGAGTATGTGAACACAAATTCATTGTACTGATTGTTTATATGTCTTTATCATTCATGCGTTGTAAGCAAGGATGGATAATGGCTTGCAGTGGAATCCAGGACGCACGTTTCGTACTATTTGGGACTCGTCAGCTGGATGTACCTGCATCTCAGAGTTGATGTTCACTCTGGGACTCCGAACCAGTACCTTTCGCTTCGAACGCCATCGCGTTATCCACTGGGCTTTATCCACATGCAGTCCTAACACATAGATGGGAAGATTCAAACAAACAATACTAAATGGAATTAAATTTCACCCTATCGCACAAGCAAGTGGCTATCAGGACTCAGTGGCCGAGTGGATAACGCGATGGCGTTAAAAGCGAAAGTTACCGGGTTCGAGACCAAGAGTGAACATCAACTCTGAGATGCAAGTACATCCTATTGGCGAGTCCCAAATAAGACGAAACGCGCTTCCTGGATTCCACTGCTAGCCAATATCCATCTTTGCTTACCATGCTTGTGAATTAAGCCTATATCGAGTCAATACGCGCAGTATGCACATATGCAAATTAGAGACTGACCAGTTGCAGTCCTAACACATAGATGGGAAGATTCAAAAAAACAATACTAAATGAAATTTATCATTCACGGTATAATTCATATTGAAAAAAAAGAAATATTACACTGTCAAACTATATTTCATATTATTTCTCAAGACATTAACCTAATAATTCCTAGGTAAACTGAATATATTACAGACCTTCAGAGTAATAGTTTATTTCCCATTTCTATTTAACAATTACTGAACACAGTTCGCCATATTTCGGTTATTCTTAGTCAGTTCACATGTATGATTTTAAATGTGTATCAACTTTATTAGATTAAATTTATACGACACAACACTGAAGTAGGATGATACAATAAATAAGTGTCATATGAATAGAAAAGATTTCGAATAATTACAAGGAATAATTCTCTTCAAAATATGTGACATTTATACATGGACTACATTTTTGACAAACAAACAAAAATAAACTACCACTTAAATTTTATTTAGTCTACAGACTATCACATATTTTGTATATTTAACTATATATATATATATATATATATATATATATATATATATATATATATAAACTAAGAAACAATTATCTATAAATTATTTAAGGTTTAAAAGTGGCAATTTATTAACAAGTGGAACAAGATTCAAAGTTGCTTATGAAAGAGGATTAGCCATATTAGATTTGCTATATACTATTCCTGAAGATAGCGGTGAATATTGGTGTCGAGTAGAGAATAAAGCTGGTCAAGTGGAAAGTAATCATGTACAAGTTTTGTAAGTTTCCATTAGCCGTTTTATTAAAATGAGATTCCATTCTTAGAAGGTATTTTTTTTAGTTGAATAAACATTTAACCAGCTTTTTACATGTTTAAATAAGTATATAAATGTAGTTAGGTACCTTCATAAAATATTGTTGTGAGAAATTTTGGTCTTGATGATTTCGAAACATGGTGAGTTGAATAAAATTGACTTTGACTTACTTACCTACTTACTTACTTACGTCTGTTACTCCCAATGGAGCATAGGCCGCCGACTAGCATTCTCCAACCCACTCTATCCTGGGCCTTCCTTTCTAGGTCTATACAGTCTTTGTTCATTCTTCTCATGTCTGTCTCCATTTCTCGGTGTAATGTGTTCTTTGGTCTTCCTTTCCTGCTTTGACCTTCAGGATTCCATGTGAGAAATTGTCTTGCGACGCAGTTGGGTGATTTCCTCAATATGTGTGCTATCCACTTCAAGCATTCTTCCTGATTTCTTCCTCCACTACAATCTAGTTTGTGGTCTCCCACAGTAGCATGTTGTTGATAGTGTCTGAAGATTAATATTAATAAATATTTATACCAAGACAACTCATGAAATATAATTCGTACTTAATAATATAAGCATCTTATTTTTTGTAACTAAGACTGTTATGGAACTAAAAATACAAACTACATGATTACTCTAACATATTACTTAACATATCGTTATTCTCTAGGTAATATCAACTTGAACACTGTAGGAGAATTCATCTATTGTTTCTTTGAAGACTGTCTTTCATTTGAGAAAAGAAATAATATTTTTGACATACTGACATACGTATCAGTAGTTGATTTGCGTTTTTTAAATTTTATGACTTTTCTAGCTATAATCATAAATATCATTGGCTGACTTAAAGATTTAGATTGTTCAAGCTTATACAATCGTTACCATAAATAAATGGGATTGTCTAACGAAACTAATTTATCCAATATCATCTATAAGCATCAAAACAATATTCAAACACTGATGATAGACTTATGAATTTATAGTGAAATGATAAGAATACATGAACACCAGATTAAAACAGAGAAACTGTCCATGAAGTTACTGATGCTAGATTTATATATATCCGGAAGTTGTTAATTCCTCTGAATTCGTGTCGGTGGTTCTTATACATAAATTCCAACCTAACTTGCATTTCTCGTTCATTTGATAGATATATAGTCCTGTCAGTTCTTTTTTTCACAAGGGGGTTTTTGTGGATATTTAGTAATTTTATAGTTAAGATCATGAGTCAATTGAAGCTAGACCACCGTGGAAAACCTGGAAGCACTGGACGGCCGTTGCATGCCAGCTCAGTGGTCTATCGGTTAAGGGCTCTGGCTCGAGACTGGTAGGTCCTGGGTTAGAATCTCGCGAGAGCGGGTTCGTGGATGCGCACTTCTGAGGAGTCCCATATTAGGACGAAACGGCCGTCCAGTGCTTCCAGGTTTTCCACGGTGGTCTAGCTTCAATTGACTCATGATCTTAACTATAAAGTTCTTTTTTTGTTTATCAATCAGCTATTAATGAAACCATTAATATACGTTGGGATGAAACTTGTTCCCTTTGAAAAATATATACATAATTATTTAGATTATTGTAAACTATAAATATTTCTGTTTACAACACCATTTATGTACTACCTCACTGGTTTCCATCCATTTTACATAGAAAAAAATGTTTGTATTAGCAGTATTCGTATGATAGAGAAATCCTTCAAAATTATTCATAACATTGATTATACTTTGTAAAAGGATTACTTTTTTTACATTGTTCGAGGTTTTCTATTTTATTTTCATCATCATCATCATCATAGTTACAATGCCAATATGTGCTATTCTACATTAGAGACAAATTGCCATAAAAAATTTCCTCTCTCTTTCTTTTAATAACCATCGAAATACCTATCTGGATTTGAAACAGTTACATGGTTATACACACACACACATTTTAATGAATACATACCTAAACTTTCATACTATACAACTACACATTAGATAATTGATGAAATTTGGACAGTGAAAGAATGAATATCTTGTACCGAATCAATAAGCATTCATACATTTAATGTTAAAAGTATCTATATTCGTTTGAAAATAAAAATATCAGCAATTAGTTATAGAATCATCCTTAATTAGAAACGATTACAAAATGGATTCATTGTATAGGTCTTTGTATAAAAAGAATGATCATTTATTAGACCTAAATTTCTGTGATTAGGACAATTGAAACATACGTCATGTACCGCATAACATTGAAAGCAGTTTGTATCATTTTCAAATATTAACTAAAACGACTATTTAAAAAAAAATCGGAATTCGACGTTATTCTCACGGTGTTATTTAAGGTGTGATTATATAGTCTCTCGTTTTTCAAAAGAAGTCAGCTTACCTTCGGAAATGTATCAGCTGTAATTTTCGGATAGAAAAATATATGAAAATAGTTATAATTGGAAATTCTAAAGATAGTTATTATTTAAAGACTAGTTGACGTAATATGTACTGTATTTTTGGCTAAAAAGGAAAATCTAGTGCTATGTTTAAACAACTTCTGGAATCATGAATTATAGATACGTCATATTTCATGGCTCTGGCACAAAGTTATCTAGAACTTACATAATATTTAATTAAAAAACATCGAATTTATATGTAAGAATGTTATTCACGAATGTATCACCAAAGTGCTCCATACTATTTATGCATATATATATTCCAATGACGAAATGTAAAAAGGCATGTTGACTTGATGGAAAAATTACAACACTGAATTGTATGCTGTGAATGATAGCCATACAAGGTTATCTAAACTCTACAAGACGAGAATAAACAAGGGCATATAAAATCAATATATCAATGGATCTTACTGTTAATTTTGTATCAATACATATAGATAATAAATCATAACCATTAACAAAAATAGCACTATCATGATTTGTTTGAAATAACATATAGCTGTAAATTATCTCACTACCGTAAAGTTAACCAAAATTTGTTTATATATATTTAAGGTTAATTGCATGGTAGACAGGTGAATGATGCGAACAGTAATTATATTGTCTACCGTAAACTTTTTCCTGATGATTTTAGGTTAATTGCTTTGAACATACAAAAAATAGAGAGAGATTATAATTCATTGTTAAATAATGAGTCAATGAACCTAGTTCACATGAAATTCATTTTGTTGAATAAATTTTCATTTTCTGTGGTCTTTTGCATAGAAACTACTCAGTTATTTGTGACTTAAAATAAGTAAGGTATTTGATAGATATAAATTTGGATCTAAGCGAAATTTCAGAACATATGAATATTTTCAGAAGGGGTTTTGTGGATATTATAATACTTTTAACAATTAAGATTATGAATCAATCTAGTGGTTAGGCGCTCGCGCGCGAAACATATAGTTCCTTGGTTCGAATCTCGCGAGGCGGGATCGTGGACTCGCACTGCTGAAGAGTCCCATAATAGGACGAAACTGCCGTCCAGTGCTTCCAGGTTTTCGATTATGGTCTAGCTTCAATTGATTCATGATCTCAATTATCGAAATATGAATGTTTTATTCTGATTTATGTATGGCGGGGTATGAACAAACTGTAGACTCAAAAAAATAAGACTGACCAATTTCTTTGTATGATGCTGAGTTTACAAAATATATGTAACAACCGCAAAAGAAATTTGTGTTGCTTAAGCAAGTGAATAAATGATTTCATAGTGGTCAAGACTTTCGATTTTCACACATATTTGAACTACTTTTCACTACTTATATAGTGTTATTAGGCCATATTAATTTAATGCATTTCTGTTATTTCACACTTGTAAATGATCCAGTTTTATAAATCAGATATTGTAAGTATAGAAAACTACGAATGTTTTATGTGATCTACATAACTATGGTTTTCGTTTGTTTTCATTTATTAGATGCAATCCTAGTGCATCTGTAATCACACACAGCAATCTCCTACAAGGTTCAGAAGGTTACAATCTAATAAAGGCTATTGAAGAAGTCGACCAGCCGTAAGAGCATAAAATAATTTAAATTTTCTACATAAATTTCCTTCATTTCATGAAATGTAACTATATATTTCATGCTTCACTCAATAAGGTAAAATATTTAACAGTTTGAAATGACTTTTTCAGCGACGGCGATGAATACAGGTACATAGAAGACGAAGAAATTGATTCAGCTCCCAACTTTGACGTAAAGCCTCAACCTGCTACAATAGCTGAAGGTTCTCCAGTTAAATTTTTAGTACGTGTTAGTGGCAAGCCAACACCACAATTGACTTGGTATCTGAATGATGAACCAATTGAACAAGTACGTCCTATTAATTAGCAAGTTAACTAAATTCCAGTACTACCTAATGTCATAAATTTAATGTAAATAAATCAGTTCCAATGTTATGTAAAATATTATGATAATTATGATAATGACGCGTGTGGATACGAAATTGGTTACTGGGGCTTAGTTGGTTTTGAGCTACTAACTAGCAAATAATGTTTTCATGCTGGTAATTACATCTGTTTGTACTGAAAATGAGTACGTCCTAAAGTAATTGCAAACACCACATATAACTTATCCACCAAATATCTGGTAGGTTTAATAATATTTTGATAATTTCAGTTAGAAGAGAGAGTAAATTCCGAGGTTACTAAACATTACTACTTTTACATAACAACTATAACAGTTAAAATGATTAATCAGCAACTGATATCTTTTAACATTTTTAATGAACTCTTGGTAACTTGATGCGCATACAGGTATCTTAACATATTGATCAAACTTTCTTACTTAACTAAAGAGAATCAGAATAACACGTTTTATCAGACAAACAAATTAAGACTTTGTGGAATATGACAACGCAATTAGAAACTACTAACCTTAAAGCTTTACACCAGGATATTACATATCTATAGGAAATTTATCTTCAACACAGTTTTGACTCCGAAAGTAACTCAACTAGATTGTCTAAAATCTATAAAAGTGGCTTCCTTATAACATGACAAGTATGAAAACTACCTAATGCTTATATTAGGTATATCTATGATCAAAATGTATCATTGTTTCTTTCAGGATTCAATTACAAAAATTTATAGTGATGGTGCCATAAACTACCTAGAAATGAATCGTTGTCCTGCTTTGCAAGGAACTAATAAATTACATGTTATTGCAGAAAATCAATTAGGTAAAGCTGAAGCAGAAACCATTCTCACCGTTTTATTGGCAGAAGATTTCAGACCGGATTTAAAACATGTTAAACCAGGTAATCAAATAATTATGTTTAGTGAACTAGTAATTTTTCATTCATATTTTTGTAATGCATTTTTGTGAATTTTACTTGGTGAGCACAGACATGTAAACAAAATATTACGCAATTTCTATCAGCAGAACTGTTACTAGGGTCGGAAATCCTTAATTTTCGATTTTGTGAGCTATAAACCCAGAGCTCACGTCAAATATAGCTCACTAACATAATAGTTCCAAAATCACTGATTAATTAAACGATAACCTGGATACTCAATTTTATCATCAATAATAAAGAAGTTTAGTCAAGTTATGAATTAAAGGAAAGTTGTTTATACCACTATCCGTCATTACTCAATGATAATACTGACATTTATTTTAGTAATCGTATTCACACTTAATGATGATCAGTATGTAATATCTATCTGTAAACGAAAACCAAACAATTATTGAGTTGGTCTCATCAAGAGCTCACCGTAACTTATCTCAGTGAATAAAATAAACATTATTCATAACTAGTTTAAAAAACTAAAGATTCGGTACTATATCAGTAATATAGGTCCATTTGATAAATATCGGTAAACAGTAGTGAGATATTTATCAAATCATAGATAACAAAATAAGTGATTTGTTTATTAATTGTACACTTTCTAAGTGGTAGTGTAGTGAACAAGAACACGGGTGGAGACAATCGAATGTACTTTAGTACAACATTACAGAATATCTCATTAAAATATGATAACCATATAGTGAACAGTTAATTTGCAAAACAACAATCAATTGTCTCAATTTGACTGTTTTTTCTGCAAGTATCCGTTCATAGTCTCTGATTATAATTGTTCATGCATTTTCGTACCAATTGCGCGCCATTCCCGTTCTCTTCTTATCGATATTCTACTAAAATACATTCAATGCCCGACCATCACCATATACTACTTATGTGGATATCAGTAACCCATACCACAATAGTTGTTTCTGTAAATTTAAAGAGTCATAGAAACATATAAATGAGGCAAATAATTCTAATTATATCGACAACCAACCGAATGTATATAACATCGGTGGTTTGTCTTGTATTTGCTCTTGTTTTTTCTTTCATATTTTAAATGAACATACATTTATTGACACATGATATCAAGTGCATTTAATTGATACTTGCGTAACTAAATTATTAACATTCTAGTTTATGCAGTAGTAATTACTAATCGTTGTTACTATAAGAAAATGTATTTTAATGATAAAATTAATTCCGTTTTCGAATGTAGTGAAGTTGTGAAGTACATTCGTAAACATTAAACAAACGTTTAAAGGATTTAAACAAATTAGACATGTGATTAATATAAAAGAATTTATCATATGATTAAATTGTTCCAAGTAGAATTATATCTTATCATAAACATAATGAATTTAAAAATTTGTGGTGGTCAATACTCGATATTATCCTTAAACTTCCTATGTTGTTCGTCCTGATAACTGTTGCTTGATAACTCCCCAAGGGTGTATAAATCGGAAGGCGAATACGAAGTGTTGATTGCGTTAATTATCAAACCACGCACAGGTATCCAAAATTACAGGCACGTTAACCAAACATGAAAGTGTAGTGCCGTAAAGCAAGTAAGTGAACGTGCCAGTCGAATGAGCGAGCGAGTAAATGAGTCTGACGAGTCAATAAACAGCATTAAGATGTACATATATATACAAATGGAAATGAATGAATCATTTAATCAATTAAGCGATTAAATAGCAAGGCTAGCAGAATGAATACAATGCGTAGGTAGTAAGCAATGCTCAAGAGTACATAATAGAGGTACAATAGTATAGATAGATTGCAGTTGTTATTGTACGAATAACTGTCCGTTAAATTAGTCAACAAAAGGCTTAACCAAATTATATATGAACAAACTCAATTGTATGTGAGCTGCTATAAATTGTTTTAGTTTAAAACACTTTAAATGTTGAAGAAATCAAAAAATAGAATAAGAACCACAACATATTATCGTTAAACGTTCGTCTATGTTTGCAAAGATCCTCAAAAATTGAATGTTTCGTATGAAATATACAAAGATTTATAGAATGATTACGATTCTGAATATAATAACCCTAACTTTTAAAATGATGAGACTTTTATCATATCAGTGTATAATTTTACAGACTTTTATATGTTTACTAACATCACTGAGGTGATCTGGATGTGGGTGAGGATTGCCAGTTCAATTGATATCATGTCTGTAATTTGGAAAATTAAAATAGTTCAAGTCTAACATCTTTAGCCTCTCGATTACTTCTCAATAGTTCTAGAAGATATGTGGTATTATTTAGTTTCAATATAAGAGAATATTCTTGCTTACGAAATTTTTTCCTCGTCAAGGAGGTTTTTAACTGTAATCGTTTCTGCATTGGTCTAAAGACTCTCGGCACTCACTGAATCAGTAACTACTCACCTCACCGCAATCACACTGTTTACTCAATCGAACCAAACGTTGCTTAAAATTTATCCTTAACAAACTTATACACAAAATTTGATATGAATACTTATATAGTTGCTTGTTTGATTATTACTTGCTCTTGATAAGACAGAACATTTTCAGAAATTCATAAGCCATAAACAAATTTTAATCTTATTTCATTTTATATGAAACTTTCAGAAAATCCATATAAAAAGATGGTTGGATTACGTAAAGTAGACTGTTCTCCAGAATTAAACAAAGCTTTAACAAGAACTAAGCCATCTGCGCAAACAATTATGGAAATGGAAAGAGGTGGGTGTTAATAAGCTTTGAAATATACCTTATTTTAGTGTATTCTAAATCTAATTATTTGTCATGTTATAACTTTTGAAAATGCTCGATTGGAAAATATTACGGGTTTCGGAATTCGTTTGTCCGTTTAACAACATTAATAGAATCATTGAGTCAAGTACTAGATATACTGCTTTATAGGGAGCACCAGATATTATATATATATATATATATATATATATATGCCGCACAAATCTCATTTGATTTGTGTGAGGGCTGTGATACTGCACAGTTGCTTAAACTGAAGCAGGTGGTTTTCTTAAGGGGCCACACCCGGAGCATTTGACCTAAACGTCTGATCCACAAGGCAGTGGAGCATCGTGAGGAGATGCAGTTCCATGGTACCCGGTGACGAACAATTGGTTCATACGCTATTTATTCCGTCAGGATACTGGAGCCCATGTGCACCACTGGTTTTGAATCAGGGTTTTCCAACTCCCCTAGGCGAACTTTCCGTGTCCAACAACCCGGTTAAAACTCCAGACATTCGCTTTATAGTATCTTCATTGATGAATTTTTAAAATACTATTTAATTTCTTATAACTTGATACCTCTCTTGGACTTACAAACACTATAAACATCAAGAATTTTCGAAACCAAAGCTCAAATACTCGTACGTCAGGAGTACAATTCAAATATGAACTTGACCAAGAGTTATAAACCTTATGTGTGAAGAAATATATCCAAATCTTTAGTGTAAGAACACATATCCGTCATTAAAAATCATTTATGCTCTTGAAAGGAATGATTATCAGATATATACATGAAAATATTTATTATTTCATTTTGATTTTAGGTTCCGAAATGAAAGCACGTATGTATCGTTCACCAGAAGTAATTGAAGCAGAAAAGATGTTGGATCAACTTGCTTTAAATTTGAAAAAATCTGAAGTCAAACGAGTTAGTTTAATTTTTTGATAGAAAATGTTGTGACAATTAATTATTCTTTTCGAATAACTTTCAGTCATAATGATAGGTGTAAGGTTTACTCAAGAAATATTTGTTGTTAAGTTTTGATTATTATCATTTTTTAATTTATTGAAAGTTTCCAAAATAAAAACTTGTAATTTATGAAACGCACCTGATATCCCTGAATACGTAAAGTGTACGTTATGACCCAAAGTACTTTAGCTAACTAAGAATTAAAAAAGAGGACAAAAGCACAATAATCTCACTTACTTACGCCTGTTACCCCTCGCCGAGGAGCATAGGCCGCACACCAGTATTCTCCATTCAACCCTGTCCTGGGAAATCCTTTCCAGTTCTTTCCAGTTAGCATTCATCATTCTCATATCTGCTTCTACTTACCGGCGTAATGTGTTCTTTGACCTTCCTCTTTTCCACTTCTCTTCTGAATTCCAAGTTAAGGCTTGCCTCGTGATGTAGTTTGGTGATTTCTATAATGTATGTCCGATCCAATTCCAACGTCTTTTCCTAATTTCCTCTTTAGCTGGAAGTTGGTTTCTCCTCTCCCACAAAACGCTGTTGCTGATAGTATCCGGCACACTCACACAGTGATGTCTATAACCCATTTGTAGACGTAGTTTGCTGTGTGTAGTCAGTGAAATAATGTTCAATTAAATGAACGAGTATAAAGATTAATTGAATTCAAAACGGATAAAAGTATCTTAGGGCAACATTATTTTGTGAAAAATTTGGAATATTTAAAATGTTAAACTAGTTTTTGTTTTCTGTTCACTAGTGGATTAACTAAATAAATACCTTTTTATGTATGCGCAATGTTCGAGTGAACATTTGTGAATACTAACTAGAAAGTCAAATGGTTATCTAAAACGAGGACTATGAGAAACTAAACTTCTAATAAGATAATTTAGAATTCTTTAAAAGGACACATCAAATACTACTTCACAGACTTTTTTAGCAATTAAAATCTAATTAGAAGACTAATAATTGAACGAAGAATATTCATTTAGATAAATTCTCTTCAGGTTCTACAATTATATATCGAATATAATAACCCAAAAAATGGCCAGGTTAAAGGCGAAATACATCGTTCCACTAATAGCGACTGTAAAATATATGTGTGAACAACTGAGTGAAAATGAAATTGATACTACATTTCTTATCAATGTCTTAAAAGAGTTATTACTGAAATGTAACATGAATGTGAATTTCAAGTTCAACGGAGAAATCTATAGACAAATGGATGGTCTTGCATTGGGTTCACCATTGGGCCCTATACTAACTGACATTTTTCTAGCAAAACTAGAAAACGGTTCACTTAAAAAAATTATTCAAAAATTCGCATTTCACCGTAGGTATATGTATGATACGTTCATCCTCTGTGAAGGTAATACATCACAGCAAGAGTTTCTTAGGCAGTTTAATGAAGTGCATCCAGCCATTGAGTTTACATCTAAATAATAGAGCGATCTTTTAATAGCCTTTTTGGACGTTCTCTTAACTAGGAGAGCGGATGGACCATTAAAACGGAATCTAAACAAAAGAAGACACGGATAGGGCAGTGTGTACGTTTCCTTAGTCTTGTACCTATACAGTGCGAAAATAAACTGATCAAAACTCTTAGTTACATAATACACACAATGTGTTTTACAGATATAATTGAAGAAGAGCTAAACACCTTGAGTAGTACTCTTGGGCAGAACGGATACCCTAGAAAGTTTATAATTAAATATATTAAAGATTCCCACTGTTAAAATTAGAAAAACACATGTAAACGAATAGTTGTTTTCAATTAAATCGTCATCAGGCTTTACTCTAATATACATGAATATTTATACGAAAATGTTAAACTAATCAAGGCTATCTGAGTCAATAATCACAATGAAACAGAATATGTCCCGCGTATAATAATTAAAAGTACAAGTTGATAGTGGGAAGACAGGTGTACTGATAGTAGTAAGAATAATAAAATTTTGTAACAAACGTGAGTAAATAGACTTGGAATAGTTATCACAAAACGTTGGAATCATTACGTAATAAGAAGTATGTAAATGATTAAATAGTGAAGAATATAAACGGAAAGAGGCGGGAAACTACAAACGAATACCAGATGTGAAAATAATACTAATGATAACAAAATTAAAAATAAAACTTAAAATAATATTAATATCATTTGTTATGTCCGGCCATGGAAGTGATAGGGGGGTTACACCTTTCTTCTGTACACATAAATTGGGGTGAAATGTACGAATTTCTATAGCTTCTGCTATATAAAGGAGACGGGAACGAACTCCGTTGGGAAATAATGGAGGTATACGATAGATCACTCGAAATGATTTCGATTTATCTGCATTATGACCGCTATCTATCTATTTATCTGGCTGTTCTCAAACCATGCTGGTAGATGTTCACTCATTCGTTGGTTAAGTTGCCTAGTAGTATACCCGATATAGCTATCTCCACAGGAGCAGCTGAACTTGTAAATGCACATAGAGGTGTCCAACACAGGTGACTTTTCCTTCGTTTGAGTAAACATCGCTGGTTGACTCGAAAAGTCTACGCAAGATTGGCTGCGTAGAATGTCCTGCTAATTACTTACGTTAACCTATATTTAAGAGTATCGCTAGCAACATCCCTGTTGGATTGAATTTTCATGTATAAAGGTTTCTTTCGAATAGTTGAAATCTCAGACTTCTTTTTTGTATCATACATGCACTTCTTAATGAATGCACTAGGGTAGCCGATCTCTGTCAGTGAGTTATTGATAAATTCCAGCTCCTGACTTCAAGTATCTACTGAACAGATCTTTGTGGCTCTACTAGTGAGACATGTAACCGAATTTCTCTTATATCGGATAGGTGTAAAGCTATAAAAGTGAGTATATTGTCAGGCAGAGTGACTTTTTTTATACACACTTCTACTTAACGAGCCATCACTACGCCCGTTTAGTGTGACGTCAAGGAAATTCAGCTTTTTGTCACACTCGCATTCACCAGTGAAACTAACCGTTGGATGTACACTGTTAAATTGTTCTAGGAGTTTATCGTTATTGGTGTTCTGATCTACGTTTGACCTCCTATTTTCAAATTTTAACTATCGTAATTCAATATTATTACTACTATCAGTACACCTGTCTTCCCACTGTCAACTTGTACTTTTACCTATTATGCTCGGTGACGTCTTCGATTTCACTGTGATTATTGACTCAGATAGCCTTGATTGGTTTAACATTTTCGTATAAATATTCATGTATATTAGAGTAAAGCCTGATGACGATTTAATTGAAAACAACATTTCGCTTACATGTGTTCTTCTAACTAAATATATGATGACGAAGGTGAGAATAGTCGAAATAAAAACGGTGAATCAGAAATCCCTGTTCATTTGGTAACAATTCAGAGATAATGCAACTCGCAAAATATTGACCCAGAGATTTAGAGTGAATAGTTTCACAGTATTTTGGGCGCCGAGTTGATGTATGATATTAAATATAAATAATATATTTGTAAAATCTCAGCGAATTAATTTGAAGTAAATTCCTTGAAAAAGCTTGGACTAGATTGCCAGGCGAAACGTTGGATTTAATTCAAATTCATTCGCTGAGATTTTACAAAGATATATTATTCCTATTTAATGTTTAAAAAACCCTCATTTTATAAGTAGACCACAATAAGTAATGCCTAATATATTATTTATATATGAAGTGTAAATTAATAAAAAATCCAATTCACCTTCACACTTGATGTTTTCATTGTTTATATTAATATTTTAACATTCTTTAGTCTTTGGTAAATGGTGGTGGTAATCAAAATGATTAAACTTAATTCTGCCAAAAAGCTTCAATATATAAACTCATTTGAATAACATTGGAACTAAATTAATTCTATTTACAAATGTTTATTTACTACACATGACATCAATTACAAACAGTTCAACTTTGATATATTGTGCATTTAAACAAAACAAAAAAAGAAAAAAGAAACAAACATAGAAGATAATAATCTATCAATAACATAATAACATTCAACACAAAGAAATTAATATTATCATCATTATGTATTTATATTTATGGCAACCTCCACTTATGTTCAATCTTTGTCTTTGTTTTTTTCTTCTATTACTTAAATTTCAGTAGTATCTTTTGATCATATTTAATTTTTTTAAAAGAAAACACATTTAGTTTAACTATCATATAATGTTCATGAATCAAAATATTGATATTAATATGAAATATTAAAATGATTTCTCAATTATTATTATTGAGTTAACTATTTAGTTATTTAAATGAAATGTCTTCTACTTATTCTTTCAATTTAAATAGTTCATTCAATTCAACTGATCATATTCATTGATTGTTGAATATATTTTTAAATCTACCAAATTACGGGTATCTATTTACTTGTGCTAATAAATAATCTTTTAAATAATGAAATTTAAATATATTTATTCCATCAGTATTCAATTGAAATGAATTGTGTATAACATTGAAAGAAAGTATATACTTTCATTTGAATAATATGTTATATACATTGAACATGTTCAATGTTTATTTAACAATTTATCTTTGAATTTATTTTCATTCATAGAAAAAAGGAAGATATAAAGTATTATTATCAATATAACATTAAGTTTTATACTGAATACATAAGTTAAGTTGATTACAAGTAGTTTATTGTGATGATAAGATATTTCTTTGAAGACATTCATTGAATTTCTAGCATTTTAAGTAGTCTGTTCAGTATATTAGTAAAAGTATTCACATAACAAGGATATAATGAAAATATTATACATGTAATGAAATACTGGCGATTTTTAATCTTATGTAGCGTGGTAAATTCAAAAAACATCCAGTATATTCATCCCCAACATTATAGAACTGTCGCATGTGTATATATATATATATATATACTTAGGCCTGTTGTGGTGTGGTCTACTTATATCTATATAAGTAGTATATGGTGTGGGTCAGACATAGAATGTATTTTGGCAGAAGACCGATGAGGAAAGAACTGAAATGAAACGCAAACGTCTGGAAAATGCATGAGCAATGGAATAAGAGAAGAAACAGTGAAGATTGAAACAATTGGTTGTTAATTTGCAAATTGAATGTTCATTGTTTGGTAATCAGAATTTATTGAGATTTGTAATTTTTATAGAGTTGAGATCATGAGTCAATTGAATCTAGACCACCATGGAAAACCTGGAAGCACTGGACGGCCGTTTCGTCCTATTATGGGACTCCTCGGCAGTGCTTAAATACGTTCGATCGTCCCCAGTCGTGTTTTGTTCACTGCACCGTTACTTCCAATGAAGCATAGGCCGCCGACCAGCATTCTCCAATCCACTCTGCCTTTGGTCTTCCTTTCTAGTTCTATCCAATTTTTGTTCATTCTTCTCATGTCTGTCTCCACTTCTCGGCGTAATGTGTTCTTTGGTCTTCCTCTTCTCCTTTGACCTTCAAGATTCCATGTGATGAAGTTAGGTGATTTCCTCAATATTTGTCCTATCCACTTTCAGCGGTTCTTCCTGATTTCTTTTTCCACTGAAATCTGATTTGTTCTCTACCACAATATATATAAAATCCCAATAGTAACTTAAGTAATAAACTGTACTGACGTTATCGGTAACTCATACAGTTGAATGCTAAAAACCCTAAATAACAGAGACTTTTTGTACGTTTAAAAGAATAGGTAAACAAGTCTTATTTATTTTAGAATTATGTATAATGCCACAAACATTTATATACTGAGATAAAATTAAAATCATGGGACCCATGACCATTTGAAACATGAATTATGTTATTAGTTTAACTTAACTTTTAGATAAACAACAAAAACTTACAAGAACACAACAACAACCGTCCAAAAAGAGTAAAGCTACTTCATTAAAACTAAATATATAGTGTTTCAGGGATATCATTCTATAAAGATATTTATCATTCATGGAAATTCAGTTTTTACTCGATCATCTTGTTTTTACATTTTGTGACAAAATTTATCAATAATAATTTCGGATTTAAGAATATTCTGACAATCAGTATTCCTAGAATTCGTCTATAAAATAACTTACAATGGTACACTATAACAAGTTTCTGTATTCAGTTAAATAGAAATAAACTGTGAAACGCGGCGAACAAATGTTGTAATGAAGAAATATGATAAATTCAAAACCAGTTATATTTCTGTTGGGTCTTCATCTAATATATTCGGGAAATCATGAATGAATAAAACATGAGGGAAGAAGATCAAGCTATTGTAAAACTGTTTGCCTTCATTTTATGATGAGAAAATATATTCCTTTAGATGAAACGTTTCAAGCTTTTGCCGGTTCTGTTATTATTATTAAAAAATCACAAAAAATGACACTAATTTGAAGCCAATTCAATGTATTGCACAGAACTGACGTTTGTGTTGAAAATCAGCGGCTTAACTAGAAAAAAAGTGTAATAATGAAATACAAGAGCTTTCCGAAAAGAGTTAGCCAGACTGCTAAACGTTACTTTTACTCACCAGTTTATTGAACCCTTAAATACATGGAGTGGATGAAACTTTTGCATAACAAACAACCTATATTCACTGATAACCGCATATTACGTTTAGGTATCATAACATCGGGTAACCTATGTTTTTTTTAATTTTCTAAACTAGTTGCCAATCTACTTTTGAATTTTATTTTGAATCTCGATGAAAAACATGTGTTAATTATGTTCGTTTAATACTTTTCACCTTCTTTTACAAATTCTTTTGTGCTTCAGAGTAAACAGTTTGACAACAACGTAAAACCTATCATCTCTACAACTTTCAAACTTCTTTTGTATTGTGTATGAGAGCAACTTTGTACATCTAAGGTCCCATCAAATATTTTATCATACAAAACAACATCTGCTGTACTATGATACTAGTGATAAATTTTTGAGTAACTTGATAGTATTCTATCAAAACATGACTTAAAATAATCAATAGAAGGCACAAGTTAATGATTTGATACACATTCAAAGATATATTTAATTACATTAGTAAGTTCATACAAAATTTTAGATATCCGATGGTACTGATCCCAGTGATATATGTTTTTTTCTTCTTCACAGCTACGTTTTTCAGTCATATCATTTCTAGTATTTCCAATACAACACGAAAATCTAATTTCGATAAGTAACTGATCTCATACTTTATTGTTAACAGTTCACACAAACTATATAAGTTATGAGCTAAGATGGATAGTGGCTAGCAGTGGAATCCAGGACGCGCGTTTCGTTCTATTTGGCACTCGTTATGTGTATTAGCGAAATCTACAAACAACAGCAATTTCTAAAGCTTGTTTTGAATAAGTAGTCAATGGGGAGATATAGTATAAGGTAGTGAATAAGCATAATACTGATATGTTTCGCTTATATTTACATTATATAAAGATGATTTCGGCTTCGACTCTCTCTCACATTGCCTTATATTCTTTATGTCCAATATAAATTACAGATGATTATTTAGAACCCTATACTCAATCATGAACTATGCTAGTATAAACTATCAGTCTGAAATTAGCCAATGATTCTATTGGATTTTAATCAAATATAATTGATTTTAATGAAACATTACTTAACAGACATATATTTAACAGATTGTATGATGCAATTTCCTTGGGCCGTAGCAACACTTTTAATAACCTAATTTAATTACCAACGTGTTGATGATCATGGATGTTATATATAATCTTAGCAAACTTATTGGTTCATTCAATTTAATAATATCATCAGAGATTTAGGACGAAATGGCCGTCCAGTGCTTCCAGGTTTTCCCTGGTGATCTAGCTTCAATTGACTCACTCTTTCAACTATGAAAATTTGATAATAGTCAAAATTACTAGTTGCCAATGAGCATTTATCATACATTTGTAAAAGTATTTCACCAACATTCCACTAAACTGAAAAAAATATTCACAAAATTAAAGATGTAATCTAATTTATTTATTTAAATGTAATGCAACATAATGTTTATTAGGAAAACAATTAAAGGATTAAACATGTAAATAAATTGTTCGATTGAACAAGATAACACATATACACTAATTAAATATATATGGATATATATATATATATATCAAGTAGTTAGATTAAAATAAGTTTCATCCATTCCCCAGATATTTTCGATACGACACATAATAAGAATTGATTGATTTAACATAGAAGAATACAATTCAGTTGTCAAAGGGTAGCAGTTATTCGTATGCTTACATTCAAACCATTGAACGTATCCTGCCGGTTCGCCTTGTGCATTTATTGGACAGGTAAGTGGAAATTGAGAAATAGCCTTAGATAAATTGGTATTACTTATTTGAAGTTCTGGTGGATAACCTACAGATATGTTGAATTTATATAGTTCAATAAAATTGTTGTCATAAGTAATACCACAGATCAAGATTCCTGTATGAAATTCAGGATTTGCGTGTTCAATTACCAGATATTCAGAATTTGCCTGTAAAATGCCTTCTCTAAAGAGTGAGAAATATACAGAGAAGTTTGATAACTAATGATACAAACCATTTTAACAAAATCTAAATGGTAGGAGAATCAATAATCTCAAATCTAATAAAATTAATGCATGTATCTGAACAGAATTATAGATGTTTACATCAGAATATTTACTATCATCTGTGAAAATTATTTACTTCAAACTAAATACCATGACTGGGTGACTTTAAAAAGCAATTCTCAAAGACCTAGGGAGAAGCTGTGACCATTGGAGTTCAGTCATATTGAGTATAAGGAAGTCACCCACCAATGACGTTGAACGATGTTTGCTCAATATCGAAGAATATTAAAACG